CAAGGAAAAAAAAAAATGAAAATTTAACAAAAAACCCCCCCCCCCCCCCCTTCAAATATCCAGTCCCCTGCTACCCCTTTAAAAGTTACAAGGTAAAAATGATAAAATAAAAAACCACCATGGAACAATGATAATTTGGTCTCTCCCTCGAGAAGAAGGTGTTTCTCACTATGTCACATCGGGGGTTCTTTTTCAGGTGCAATTGATTCCTCGCAACTCTGATGTTCTTGATGAGTCAATTTTGTGAACTGAGAGCAAAGAATTGGGTGATGGTTACAGAGTAATAAGTATGGTTAATAAGATTCGCCTAAATGTACATGCTTTTAATGGAGATAAAAATCATGGTGGTGTTCATGATGGCACTACTATTTTCTTTGGGAATGGGAAAAGGGAGACAATCAGCATTGGAAGATTGTTCCTCACTGCAAGTATCTCAACATGATATGAGATTAAGATTTCATGTAGATTTTAATGTTTTGATGACAATTCAGTTGCACCATTTTGCCAGTATAAAATATAAGAATATATTTGCTTGGATAGTTTCTTAAATTGACCATGCTGAAACCCATAAATTATGGCAGATCAGCAACTAATATTGTCTGCTCGATTTCCCTCTCTCACCCAAATATTGAATTACGTCTAGGATGTTAGCTGTGTTGATTGCGCTAGCTGGTGGAAGGAGATGGGAGTTCCCTCCTTCAGAGGCCTTTTTCTCGTCATTTATGTTGGTAATAATAAACTGCACTTTGTATATTTGATTTGGCACCCTGAGTGTGCTGCTGTTGTGTTTACGTGTGGCGCTGGAGTTGGCCCTTCTAGATTTTGGATATCATAGATTGCTGCTTAGGGTGCACCCTTAATAGCTAGTTGAGGCTGGCTTTCTCTAGTATACATACAAATAGAGAACTCCAGACTGATCTCTCTCACTCTCACTCTCTCACACACACACACACACACACACTAAAGGTGAGTCTTCTATTTCTCGATAACAAATCACTACAGAATTATTTCACCTTATTTGCAAATAAATGGATATTTTAGAAAACAAAACCAAAATGGTGGTGGTTGAGTTTCGGACTATTAAAGTTGGTGATGCAATTTTTTTTAACAAAACACACTACTCTTTATCGACAAACACTATTCGTATCGCCTCTCCCCCAAATGCACCCAAAAGAGATTTTCTTACAACAAAAGAGCCAAAAGTTCGAAGTTTCAGTTGGAAATTCGGTAAATTTCATTAGTTCCTTACTTTTATCTACGTAATCTTTGTTGTACTAGTCTTTAAACTTTTAAAATTTTGACATGCGACATGCCCCTTGATAACAAAAAATGCTATTTGATTTTCCGAAAATATTTCATTTATTCCAAAAATATCAAAATATTGACGTCAACTGTCTTACAGAAATTCAAAGGGTGTAGAATCCATTAGTTAACCGCCCCCTCATTTTCGACATTACATGAATGTTATTCAGCCCGTTAACGTTCAAATAAATGTGATACGAGTATTACAAAATTTTACAAGGTCGAGACAACTTAAATGCAACAAATTCCTGCTGGGATTTTATTTTGTTTAAAATTTGTTTATTTTTCTTCGTTTTTAACTACACATTCTTCAATGAAATAAAATTATGTCTAAATTTAAAGCTTTTCATTCTTTTTTAATTACACATTGACCATAAAATTCACTATTTCACAAATGATTTTTTTCCCAAAAACATATTTTAATAGAGTCCAAACAAGGGCAGTAAGTTGAAAATACGAGTGTTCACGTGTAATTTAACCTACAAATTTTAAGTTCCCCATGAATTGCATTAAAAGTAGTCAAACTTTAATTTCAAATCCTATCACAACTATTATCAACTTATTATTTAGCCCTTGTTTGGTTCTCGTTACTTTTAAAATATATTTTTCTCTTTTCCTTATAATGACAAATTAAGTGCAATGTTACGTTATATCTTTATTACTAAGCTATTGTGACTTTAATAACATGTTACAAGATACGTTTTGTTAAAATATCTTCAAAAGGTTCTCTAAATACAAAATGTTCTTTATTTTAAAGAATTAATAGTTAAAAATAAGCCCAATGAGACTATTTTAATATTTTAAAATAGAATGAGTTTGACTCTTTAAATTAAAGAGCCAAACTCAATCTAATACTTGGAGCTAGCTTGATTTCAATTTTCTTCAAAATATATTTTTTGCTTTTATTTTCAACAACACATTTTTCAATAAAAAAATATTACACGTAAAATTTAACCACATTCTCCACCAGCCTATTATTCTAAAACACATTTTCACAATTTAGCGGGGTTCAAACATGCTAATAAATCACAAATTTCAATACTTATGAAATTAAATAGTAATTAGCACAAAACATCCTAACATTTCATGATTTTAGTAGAAAACATTCATACCTTTCGTTTTTTGGCGCATTTCATCCAACGGCTTGATTTCAATTTTCTTCAAAATATATTTTTTGCTTTTATTTTCAACAACACATTTTTCAATAAAAAAATATTACACGTAAAATTTAACCACATTCTCTACCAGCCTATTATTCTAAAACACATTTTCACAATTTAGCGGGGTTCAAACATGCTAATAAATCACAAAT